ACCCCAGACTTTTGGTAGTTTCTCACCTGTCCTTGTGTCTTTATGTCACTCACATGAGACTCCTGGCAGGGGCATCAGATGGGTCAAGCCCGGGTCTCAGGCCTAATCTGTGGCTGGCGGGCTTTCAGAGTGGGAGGAGGGGCCCTGTCTCTCCAACACAACATGGGATTCCCCCCAAGAGGGAAGTGTTTGGATGTCCACTGCAGCACTGTTTGGGGGAGTAGTAAGCAAAGTTGAGTAGTAAGCTACCAACAGCATGACTAACACCCACGGGAAACCTCCGGTGTATAAACCAACCCTCAGAGATGAAATGGAGGCTGGCAGGGGCGCCTGGGCGGCTCAGTCGTTAAGCATCTGCCATTGGCTCAGGTCATGATCCCAGGGTCCTGGGATGGAGTCCCGCATCGGGCTCCCTGGTCGGCGGGGAGCCTGCTTCTCCCTCTGCCCGTTGCTCTCCCTGCCTGTGCTCTTTTTCTGGCAAATAAATAAGTCAAATATTTTAAAAAATTGAGGCTGGGATTTAGGGGAGATTGTACTCCCCACAGGGGAGGCTGAAGTGAGGAATAATAGCTGATGTCATTTACTGATGGCCTCCTACAAGCCTGCCACCGAATATATGTGATGAAATCTCATTTAATCTTTCCCTGGCAAATCTGTAGACCTCTCCCTGTTTTACAGATGAGGAAACGGAGGTCCAGGAGGGTTAGGGTTTCTCCGGGGTCCTACAGTGACTGGCATTCACGCGTATTCTTCCAGGCTGTGAACGCACACTCTTCTTCCCACTACGCTGCTTTTCCTATACCTGGGACACATGAATTGGAGAACACATCCCTGTTCTGTGGTGCGAAGTCATAGGGTGGCCAATAAGCCTGTCTCTGAATCCACATCTGCTTCTTCCAGGCAATTACTGTTAGTTGCTATTGAACCCCAGAATTTCTTTGGCGTCACCCAATAAATAGGTATCTTCCCCCTTGATCTTGTTAGCTGATTGGCTAGGAAAGTCAAAAGTAACTTCGTACCTTGGTTTTTCTTTTCTTTTCTCTTTTTTTTTTCCCTAACCTGATCCTTCTCTTGAAGGACAAAGAGTGGGCTAGAGAGGGTGTGTCACATTCACCCCTGGCAGGGTCCTGAAAATGGAGGGACCGTGATGGACGCTGGACATAGGCACGCCCAGGTTTTAGGGCGAAGTCTCCTTTGTGTGAGTAACTGATCAGATACATCAGTTAAAATCAATATTTCCTACCTGAATGTCAAATATCTGCACGATCTGCTTCCAGAGCCAACCACGACCACAATTCATCCCACATGCACATGGCATGCTCTGACCAGTCCTGCCCCCAGGCCAGCACACGGCTTTTGTGTGCAGCTCTGGGCCCAGAGCTCTAGAATTGGATTGCCTTCCCCTTAAAAATGCTGACCAGGTGACTTCTTGGCAAGCAGAGTGCACTTTTAGGAGAGGGCCTTTTGGAGAGTATCTCATTACTTTGTTAGGGCCCGAGCACAGAAAAGGCAGTTTGGCCATTCCTGGGCTTGAGCCAGCTGTTGTCCTTTCTGGGCAATGCCTTTGGGGGTCTTGTTCAGAGTGTGAGTTTATATTCTTGAACACCAACATGAAGCTTAGCTGACACTTTTCATCTGGGTCCCAGGAGACCAGAAGAGCAAAACAGAAATTCTCACTTGACCACCACTTACCTGTCCTGGGTCCACTGGGGCAGGAAAAGAAGAGAGGCTTCCGTCCATCTGTCTCATTTAACGTCTCTTGTCCAAGGGTATGTAGGTAACATCTGAACGAAGGTAGACCAGGAAGATGGAATGGTCCCAGGCCTGAGGCTTGGGACCAGGCTAGAGGAGAAAAGCCAAATTATTATGGTTATAGCAAACAGAGGTTGAGATATCATCCACTGTCTGTAGGGAAAAGGTGATACATGTGTACTCGATAGGAATGTGACAGCCCAACGTTCCTTCCCAAGGACTGCTGATCTGAAAGGGAACTTTTGTTTAATCCCGTGACAGCCAGTCCCTACCCACTCTTGCCCAGAGGCCTTACCTGTCAGAAGCCCCCATAGGAGAGAGTGAGCTCCATTCTCTATGCACTTGATTCTAGTGGCTGTCTTCCTGTGAAGTGCTATCTTTAAACAAGTATATTGAATTCAGTGCAGAATTAGAAAGCAAACAAACTTGTTGTAAAGGAACATTTACAACTTAAGTAGAGATTTGTGTATAAACAATGATTCATGCTTTGTTGGATTTCTAAAAATAGACAACATGATTTTGTTGAAAGCTTTCTAGCCTCTACTGTATTTTAACCAATACATGACTATCTCTGATTATGACAGCTATGTAGCTGCTGTCTAAAAGAAAGATAAATCTGTTGATTCAGCCAGGGACTATAGATTTACTGCCACCACAAAGTCAAAAGACACAACCTTGGGAAAATATTTGCCACACATAAGGAAAAAGAAGTTAATTACCTTAATATATAAAGAGATCTTACAAATCAATAAGAAAAGACCAATAATCAAATAGAAAAATGGGCAAAGGGAATCAACAAATTGCCAAAGTGAATACAAATGGCTTTTAAATAGACAAAACGATGTGCAATTTCGTTTATTAAAAATGTAAATTAAAGCAGTGAGATACTATTTTTGCCTTTCAGATTGCAGGTATCAAATTTTGATAATACTTTGTATTAGTGAGGATGTAGGAAAATGGTCACTCTCTTACATTGATAGAAATGTAAATTGGTACAACCTCTTTGTAAGAAATTTAACAATATCAACCAAAATTGAAAACTTACATAGCTTGTTACATTTATCTATTACTGTGTAACAAACTACTCCAAAACAGAATGACTACATTAGGAAATTATTTTGCTTGTGATTTTTAGGGTCAGAAATTGAGGAAAGGCTAGGTTGGGTAGTTCTTCTCTGTTCCGTATGGTGTCAGCTGGGGTGGCTGGGAGGATCCACTTCCAATTCATCTTTTAGGAATTTATCCTACAAACATATGTGAGCAAAGATATATGTCCAGGGGTATTCATTACAAAATTACTAATAGTAAAATACAGGGTTAACCTAAGCGTCCGTCAATAACCCAATTTATTTATGCCCATGTAATGGGTAACTATGCACCTATTGAAAAGAATGACACAGCTCTATGTACAGATAGTGAAAGGGCTCCAAGATATAACTTCAGTATAAAAAATCAAGTTGCAGGGGTGCCGGGGTCTATCAGTAGGTTAAGCGTCAGACTCTTGATTTTAGGTCAGGTCCTGATCTCAGGGTTGTGAGATCGAGCTCGCTGTTGGGCTCCATTCTAGGTGTGGGGCCTGGTTAAGATTCTTTCTCTCCTCCCCCTCCACCGCCACCCTTCTCTCTCTCTCAAAAATATTTTTTTATGCCCACACCAGGAGCAGAGGAACTGGAGAACTGAAAGGGCTCTGCAAAGGGCCCCATAGTCCCTTCTGGGGATGGAGCATTTCTTGGTGGAGCCAGTATTCAGAGGATAGAGGTTTGTGAAGTAGGGGCAGGGAAGGTTGAGGACGTGACAGGGAGGAAAGCACAGTGGCAGATGAATTTAGAGCATTCTCTGAAGTCTGGAGAACCCCGAAGGCAAAGACCTTGAGAGTCAGACTCCCAGGCTCGAGTGAATCCTATCCAAGCCATAGGGGATGTGCATACGTGCAGCACCTAACGGACCCACTGAAGGCAGCAGGAGTGGATACACAACGAGCCCACTGTGGTTCAGGGGGCTGGCCAGAAGGGCCTAGACGATGCGGGATAGTGGGAGAAATGGAGAAAAGGAGGGTGGGGTGGGCAAAAATGGGAGATAAGAGCCCACAGAGGGAGTTAAGGAGCTGGAAGAGTTTTGGAAATGGAGGATCTGAGGGAGAGTTGGTCAAGGAGTGACTTAATCTGAACTGTACTCAGAGGGACGGGAACAGGCACGAGCCCCAGGCGCCTCCGTTTACTCGGCCACACTCCGTTTACTTGGCCCTCTGGAGCCCTTGGGGCCGGGCCAGGGCTTCCCCACCGAGGGGGCTGTCGGGACCCCCGGGGCCCCGAGCCCGCGCACCGCGGGAGCTGAAGACACGCCCGGTCAGGCGGCGCTGGAGGCGGGCGGGCGGGCGGGCGAGTGCCGTGGTCGCCCTTCCTCCTCCCCCTCCTCTCCCGCTTCTCCCGCCCCGAGCGGGAGGCCGGCGTCCGGCGGGAGAACGAGTGTCCACCTCCTGGGCCCGGGGCTAAGGCGGGAGAGCGGCCACCACGGGGCTGGGGCGGGGGGGGGGCGGCGAGGCGCGGGCGATCCCCGGGGCAGCGCCGCCACTCCGCGCTCCCGCCCCCCGTGGCCGGACGTGGCACCTCCCCCGCGGCGGCCGGAGCCGGGAGGTGGGGTCGGGAGCCGGAGCCCCGGGGCTCTGATGTCACCGCGCGGCTGCCGGCGCCCAGGAGCGCGTCTCGGGCTGGAGTTCAGGTATGCTGCGGGGCCGGGCGGCGGGGCGGGTGGCGGGGCTGGTGGTGGGATCGCTCTTCCCGGAGGAGGGCAGGGCGAGCCCCGCGGCCGGGAGGGGTGGGGGGTGGGGCGCCGCGGAGCAGCCGGCGCGTGGTTCCTGCGGGTGTTCGGCCCCGCGCCTAGTCTGGCGGGCCCTTGCGTGCGGGAGCTCTTCGCCGAGCCGCGGGGGCTGTCGGGGGAGCGCGCCGTGTGGCCCGCGCACGCGGTGGGGTCTCTCTCCGCAACATCCCGCTCCCACCCCGCTCCCGCCCCGCGCCCGCCGAGCCGCCGGAGAACGCGGGGCCCCCCCGCGCCCGAGCTCGCGCTGTCCCCTCACGCGTCTGAGTCCTCCTTCCCCGACGGTGAACCCAACAGGAAAGGCCCCGAAATGCGCCGGCCAGCGGCCATTCGCTCCCCCGGCGTCCCCGGAGTCCCGCTGTCGCGCCACACCGCGTGACTCGGCCGCCCCCTGCGGTCGCCAGGCTACTGCCTCTCTCCCGCCTCGACCTACAAGAGCTTGAAGCCCCAGGTATGTGGTCCGCCCACGGCCGCGGCCTCCTGTCCCCGGGCGCAGGCAGCACCCCGCCTTTTCTGCGCGTCCGGCGCGGCACCGAGCTCCCGTCTCTGGGGACTACAGCGGGGCTAGAGCGACGCAGAGCGGAGGCTGCGGGGGCTGCACCGTCCGCGTGGACTGCCCGGGACAAAGGGCCCGCAGGGGGACTGGGAGGGCCGCGCAACCTCCCCGCATGCGGCCTGGCCGGACTAGTCTGGGGTGCTGGCACTGAAGACGCGGCCCAGGACCCCGAAGCTCCGTGTGGCAGGGACACTGCCGTGCAGGCAGCGCCCCCACAGTGAGCACGCCACTGAGGGAAGACCATCGGAGAGGGGCGCCGTGGACAACCTCTAGGGTCAGATGTGAGGTGGCCTTTGAGAGAGTATGCTTTAATTCCTGATCTTTGTTGAGCTTTCGAGGTTGTCTGCCTTTCTGGTCACCTCACCTGGATCTGCTCCCGCTGTCTTGGTGTGGTTTTACCAGCCCCAAGCTGTCTTCATCGATTTCCCCAACAACCTCTAACTAAAAACCGGAGTCAGCCCGCTTGCCTAGACCTCTCTGCTGAGGTCTAGACCCATAACCCAACTTGCGAGCTTCCCAGACTTGCCACAAACACTGCAAAGCCTACAGGCCCCAGACTGAATGAGCACCGGCCCCTGGGTCAGTCCTCATCTCCGCTTCCTCCTTCCAGAGACTGGCGCCTCTACCTCCCAGGCCTCCAGCTCTGAACACTGCAGTCATCTTTGTGTCCTTTCCTCTCTTGCTCTTTCATTCAGATGACAAGGATATGTGAGCCCCCCCCGGCCCCCGCCCTACTGCCCAACCCCAATCTGGCGGTTTTCCAGCAGGGATTCCATGCAGCTCCCCCTGCTCTGGCGAGGCTTGGCCAAAGGCCTGAAGAGCTCCTTAAGCTCTAGCCTCTGGACCTCAGTTCTATGTAGGCGCTGGCCCTGCAGCCCAGCCCACTGCTGACAGCGATGCTGAGGCCAGGGCTCCGGGGGTGTCGCCACCCATGACCACAATGGCTGGTTGGACTGCGAGAGGCTCCCTGCAGCCAGACAAGTGCACTAACTCCTTGCTCTTTGTATTGAGGCCCCAAAACACGCTAAAGGAGCTGCACCCACCTAGATTAGCAGGTTCTGCAAAAGGCACAGTGTGAGCATCTGCATGGTTATGGGCCTACTGAGGCCACCACTGCAAAAGTATCCTTAAGTTAGGGGCAAACGACAAACATATGTACACACAGTTTTATTATCCATTAAGCTGTTTTTATTTGGTGACTCAGAATCCTTTGCGAACACAGTAACTCACAGATACAGTTTTCAAGGAAACTTCTTTGTACGTGAACAGTCGCGGGTATCTGTAGATGCTGGAAGGCAACAATGGGCAGGCATGGGTGGCATGCATCAGGGAAAACAAAGCTTCCAAGGTGGGCTCAGACTAGGAAGAGAGAGGGTTAGTGCCTGGGTGCCTAGGGCGGGTTTCCTAGAGGAGGTGACTGTCCTCCCAGGAGCTGCTACTCAGAATTGCTTCTTGTCGTCTTCAAGTCCAGAGAGTAGAAACACTCGGTGAAAGAGGTCCTCAAACCTGAGTGTGAGGACCAACGTGCAGGGCTGGTGTTAATGGGCATAAAGATACCTCCAGTAGGCACTGTCAAGATGTTCTGGTTCCAGATCAGCTGAGAGCCCCTCCTGAGAATATTGCAGATACTGCCTCTTCCTTTTAGGAAACACCATATCCTCACACCACTAACCTCCCCTCCCTCCCCTGACCTGCAATCTGTAGCATCTGAAGCCTTGGGGAAGGGGGTGGAGGGTGACTCTGAGTTCCAAATAGTATTTAGGAGGCTTAAATGAACCTGCTTTTCAGTTCCCACCCCAGCTGCCGGTCACCCTCCTCTGCACCCCTCCCCAAGCCAGCTCAGAGAAAGCAAGCCCTCCCACCTCCCCAGAGTCCCCATCACCCATTAGGAGCCCCAGCTTCCTAAGACTTACAGCTGCTCTTGCCCTTTACCCATGAATACCCACCCAGCTCCTCCCCTCACTCACCTTGCTCCCCTCTTGGCTCTGGGGAGGTACTGATTTCTGGCCTGTTCTGCTCCACCTGTGCTTGCCTGCTCTTATGGTTCCTAATAATGCATGAGTAACCTGGACAGTGTCCACCGTGTCAGCTGCCTCCTTCATTCTGTCCCCTTCACCAGAAAAGATGAATAGGGAGAGAAGAGTGGGCAGAAGCAAAGGAGCCCTCTTCCTTCTCCACCAAAGCCAACCCCCCTATCCACTCATTGCCAAGTTTGCTCCTTTCCTTGCCATTCCACAAATATTTTTTTAACATCAACTATGTGCCCGGCACTGAGGGTACAGAGATTAGTAAGTAGAGGGCCTGTTCTCAGGAAGTTCGGGGTGGGAATGGGAAGAGGGAGTCACAGGCAAGCCAACAATTACACTGCAGGGTGACTGAGTACTGTGTTTGGTGGGGAAGCTCAGGACACTGTAGGGGTTTCCAAAAGGTCAGGAGACCTCTAAGCTGGGCCCAGTAGGAGGAGCAAGAGGAGCAGGACAAAGGTGGGGGTGTGAGGCTGCAAAGCAGAGACCATATTGTTGCGGTATCTGCTAGTATTCTGAGAGCAGGTGGGGGTGACTTTCCCACAGTGGAGTTTAGCTTTGCTGGAGGCTTCTGGCACTTTTTTTGGGGGGGGGGTGATGGAGGTAAACTGGTTTTCAGCAGGGTTTGCTTCTAGGAAATTGATTCTGCCTGCAGTAAGCTTGGAGGCAGGCACAGATTCCAGACAGGGTTCTGCTTCTTACCGGCTATGTGCCCCTGGGCGAATCATTTCCCCCTTAAAACCCCAGTGTCCTCATCTGTAAAATGCAGATAGCACTTGTGAGGATTAAGATAAATATTTATATAAAGCGCCTGGAACATAACTGACGGGGGGACACAGCGAGAGAGGGAACACAGGGGGGGGGGGGGGGGGGAAGGAGGGTTAAGGCTATGAGGCTGCCCCTGCCCCCTGACCTGGGTCTTGCCCCCTCCTTTCTCGGCTCCTCTGTGATCTCAGAACGTTTTTGACCATTGTTTATTAGGGAAAGATCACATGGAGAAGCTAACAAAGCCGCCAGGAAGCCGCCAGGGTGGGACTGGGTTGGGGAGGGAAGGAGTATGGGTACAATCTCAGCGCTCCAGGAGGTGCCAGGGTAGAGGCGGGGGGCGGGGGGGGTTGCTGCCAGCCTGGAGAGCCTCAGGAGGGAGTGGGCTAGTTGCCAGCTCCTTCCCCTGGGCTAAGGGGAATAGCTGACGCCCTCAAACTCCAGAGTTGCTCCCAGGGGCTGGCCCTACCTCTGTCATCCCCGACCCGGGAGGTGGCAGCGCTAAAGATCGTGCGACCAGGGAGGGGATGTGTCAGCCCCTGGCTGTCCGTGCCGTGTTGGAGGGGCCAGCCGGAACCGGGGCTCCCCGCCCCGCCGTCTGTGCTCTTTCAGGCCCCGCGGAGCTGGCCTCAGCACTCACCTGCGCAGCCATGGAGGCCCCGGCGCCTGGGGGCGACCGCGCCTCCCCAGCCTCGTCCACTCGCAGTCTGGACCTGCGGCGGCTGTCCGCGCGCGCCGACTCGGCCTATAGCTCTTTCTCCGCGGCCTCCGGCGCTCCCGAGCCGGCCACGCTGTCGCCTGGGACCGACCTCCTCCCTTACCTGGACTGGGACTACGTGCGCGTGGTGTGGGGCGGCCCGGCCCCCGCCAGCGGCCTTCGCACCTCCCCGCAGCCGCGGCCCGCGGCCGCCGCGCGCAGTGGGCCGCGGCCGCCGGAGGTCCGGGGGACGCCGGGGCCGCTCAGCCGGCAGGCCACCCCGCTGCTGTTTGCGCTGGCGGCCGAGGCGGAGGCGGCGGCGCGGGCCGTCGAGCCGCCCAGCCCGCCGGCCTCGCGGGCCGCCTACCGCCAGCGGCTGCAGGGCGCCCAGCGGCGAGTGCTCCGGGAGACGTCCTTCCAGCGCAAGGAGCTCCGCATGAGCCTGCCCGCCCGACTGCGGCCCGCGGCCCCCGCGCGGCCCCCCGCGGCGCACCCGCGCTCCGCCTCGCTCAGCCACCCGGGCGGGGGCGGCGGCGGCGGGGAAGTGGAACCGGCGCGCCCCGGGGCTCCCTCGAGGGGAACCGTTGGCCGGGGGCGCCTAGCCACCCAGCAGCGGAAGTGGTGCTTCTCGGAACCAGGGAAGCTAGACTGCGTGGGTCGGGGCGGTGGATCCGCAGGGGAATGCTCGAGTGAGCCCGGCTCCGGTTCTGGCATTGCCAGGCCCGAGCCCCAGGAGCGTAGGGTGCTGGCAGAATTCGAAGGTCACCGGAACAGATGGCCGCCTGAAACCCAGCCCCGAGGCGTAGAGGACCCAGAACCTCGGTCCCTGAAGCTCGGTGACGCCTATAGACCTTCCAGTCGGAGTCGGGGCGCTTCAGGGGAAGTCTTGGCTCCCTGGGGAGGTCCAGGAGGGGTCATGCCCCTTGTCCAGGTGTGGAAGAGAGGGGCTGCAGGCTTGGGGTGGGGGACATCTGGGAGACTGAAAACTTGAGCTACATTTCAAGCAACTGTTTGCCTTTCCAGGCTGTTCCTCAAGGAGCAGAAACCCCCAGACCATTGTTTCAGACCAAACTTGCCAGGTGAGGACATGGACCACTGGGGGACTGCAAGTTGGAGAAAAGCAGTTTTCATAGCTCTTACCCAAGAAAGAGAGGGCCCCTCCCCTCCCCTCCCCTCAGTTTGAGCTTTCTGATTCTGTCTTTTGCAAACTACATCCCCTATGGTCCCCCCCACACCCACCCCATCCCATTGTGTCTCTGGTGCAGCACCAAGAGCTTCCTTCCTGGTCACTGTGGTGAGTGTGGGGTGCCTTCCTCCAGGTTCCTGACTCAAAAGGAAGCTGCAGTGGTGTGTCCTGCAGAGTATCCCCAGAGCAGTCCTGTTGGCTGGGAACCGAGGGTCTCAGAGACATGCATGGGGGCTGCTGGGCTCCCATCCCTTCCAGATGATGAGGTTTTCCTGGAAGAAGTCCCCCTGGACAGAAGGAGATCACCTCCAGACACCCATGCCCCCCCAGGAAACCCACCCAGGTGAGTTGCCTCTTGCTTCCAAGCAGAGTGAGACATCCCTTTCCCACACATATCAACGAAATGCTAGAAGGACAGGGAGCCCGCTGGAGCCTGGGAGCCTGGCTGGTGGGGACGGGGACAAGTGGCCCTTGGAGGCCACTGCTTGTCTTTGGACAGAGCTTTTTCTGATTCAGTGTCTCTCCCACTTCCAGTGTCCATGTCTCTGACCAGCAGTATGGAACTGGCTCAGGCCAGAGGGCTGACCAGGCTACAGTCCCTCTGGAGCACCCCCTCCATGAGCACCCAGAGACTGCAGGGGCAGATGACTGCTGGCAGAGGATAAATGGTTCTATGGGTGTCTCTAAGACCATAAACTATAGCACCCCCAGGACTGCAAATGGTGACATCGCAACCTTTGACCCCAATGGACGGCTGACCATTGACTCATTTGCAGCTGCAGAGAGTGACTCTCTCAAACCTCTCCCAGTTGATGCCCTGGGACCTCCAAGCAACAATACCCCAGGTGCTCCTGGCCATACTGCCCTGGCTTGGGGCACTGGCCAGCCTGGTTCCAGGCCAACATGGCCCAGTCCTCGCCTTGAGGAGCTGGTTCAGGAGCTGGCCAGACTGGATCCCTCTATGAGTGACACTCTCACTTCCTGTCCCAGCCCAGACCCACCCCTGGACCTGCTAGATGGGCTGATTCCTTTAGCAGAGGTCTGGGCTGCAATGAGGCCGGCCTGTGAGGAGGCTGGAAAGGAGGCTGGTGGTGGTCCTGAACCAGGGTGAGTGAGGGGCACCAGGGACTCAGGGGATTCTAAGTCCCTGCAGTCTGGGGCAGGACAACCCAGGGAGCTCTGGCTTTGTCCCCAGGTTCTATCTATCTATTTAGCTCCAGCCAGTTCCTGCCAACTTGTCAGGAGGAGACAAGGTTTGGAAACCATACCACCCACCCTGTGCCTGACCAGGCCTGTGGCCAGGGTCTCCCTGATCCAAATAACAGCATCCAAGCCAAGAAAGTGAGTGCGGAGGGGCTGGTGGAGATGGGGTGTGTGGCAAGAGCCCAGAGTATGGGCCGAGGAGTCAGGGTCCGGCCTCACCCTTAAGTACCCACGCCTTCCCTGCAGATGGAGCTAGCCGACCTCCTCCAAAAGATGCTGCGGAACCTTCAGGCCGAGCAGGAGCAGCTGCACGGGGCGGCCCAGGCTTGGGCCAGGCGCGGGGCTGCTCTGGAGGCCGCGGTGGGCCAGGCCTGTGCTCCCCGCGACCGAGAGCGGTTCGGCAGGTTCATGGCCGACCTAGAGCGCGTGCTTGGCCTGCTGCTGCTGCTGGGCTGTCGCCTGGCCCGCGTGCGGCGCGCCCTGGCCCGGGCGGGCGCAGACAGCGACCCGGACGAGCAGGTGACCGGGGTCGGGGCTGGGGAGGGCGCGGGCGCGGGCGCTGAGGGGCCGGCGGGCTCGGGCTCGGGCTCGGGCTCGGGCTCGGGCTCGGGCTGGGACGGTTCCGGGATCGGCGGCCCCCTGGCCCTGCTCACGGCGCGCTCTCCCCGTCGCTGCAGGCCTCTCTGCTGCGGCGACTCGGGCTCCTGCAGCGGCAGCAGGAAGACGCCAAGGAGCTGAAGGAACACGTGGCGCGGCGCGAGCGGGCCCTGCGCGAGGTGCTGGTGCGCGCCCTGCCCGCCGAGCAGCTGAGCGCCTATCGCGCCCTGCTGGCCGGCAAGGCGGCCGTCCTGGCCCAGCGGCGCAGCCTGGACGAGCGTGTCCGGCTCCTTCAGGACCAACTGGACGGCGTCAGGAGCGACCTGGGCCCTCGTCCCCTGCCCCCCAGGCTGGCCTGGCCCCCAGAGACCCGTCTTCCAGATAAACCACCCTTCCTTCCGCCCCTCCTCTAATTACAGGCGGTGGGGGTGGGGAGCGCTGCCTCTGCCCCTCTCCCACATCACTGGGGGTGACGCTGGTTGACTTGGTGCTTTTCCCTTGCCGGGAGCATACTTCTAAGTGTTTGCATGTAGGCTTACCCACGTCGTGTGGATTATTTGGTAATTAATTTATGGATTTTTAAAACTGCAGTATTCCCCCCCTTTTTGTGAGGAGAGAGGCTCTGTCTGGCTTGGTGGGAGGGAGAGGAGACAAATCAGAGGAGCATTTCAACTTAATATACAAAATGGTCTTTTTTTTCTTTACTTTCCTAATGATAATTGGTGTGAGGAGTGTGTGTGTTACCTGGAGCCTAGCTTGGGGGACGAATCTTGTTTACAGACAATGGACAGAAGAGGAAGTTGCTGGAGGACCTCAGGTCAGGTCTGGGAATCCCTAAGAAGACTGAGATACAGGCTTGAAGCCAGGAGGGACCAAGGGGACGCCAGGCCTTCCAGCTCTACCGGCACCAGTAATCCCTGCAGTTCCGGTGACTCCATCACCACCGCAAAAGCCTGGGCCTGACTGGCCGACCCCAGGTCTCCTTTGCTGGTTTTTACCCAAGCCTCCAACCTCAAAAGTAGAAGTGGGGGTAACTGCTTCCCTTCAAGACTCAAGGGATAGGGAATTTCCCCATACACAAAATAGGTTCATTTGCTTTGCTGCCTAAAAACCTTGAGGAATTCAGGGACATTTATTCCAAGACTCAGAAGTGAGTTTATCCAGCTCTCCTTGGAAGCCCTACTGGATCCGCCAGGCTTGAGGAGGGCTGTTGGGCATGGGAGCTGAAGGTGAGGCATGGGAGACTTGGAGACCGAGAATAGGGGGGCTGAGGACCTGGAAAGGCAGCTCTGCTTGTGTGCTAGAGAGGCTAAGCTGGGGGTGAAACGGGGTTGGGAGTGGGGAGTTAGGTGCTGGTGTGGAATGAAACGGAGGACACACACTCCCCTCTGTGCATCAGCCCTGTGTGCACAGAGTCGATGTTAAGTTCTCAAATATACATGTGAAAATGTGCTTTAGTATTTGCAGCTGCACACGCCAGGGCCAAGAACATTGTTCATGCAAATGTTGAGTGTATTTTTTGGAAGCTGGGCACATTAAAAGGCACGTGTATGTGTATTTAAAGCCAACTGACCCCAAAGTGAGAAATCTCTGCTTCTGGGCTTGTTTTCCGATGCGTATTGTCACTAAGTGCAACTGGTTGGGAATTTTAAATGGTTGTATTCATACCAAAAGCATTAGTTATAACAGTTGGACTATTGAGCACAGAACAATGCTAACATTGTGCCTCTTTATGAAAAACATATGGGGCTCCTGCTGAAACAATTATGGGTTCTAACATTATGCTTTGCTTCTCTCCTTTGAACGCTGTGGGTGGGGCCTCTGCTCCAAAGTCCTCAGCCTAGCAGGGCAGCTCGCTTTGAGATAGTCTGGATGGAATAAATTTATTTCTGCCTTTTGCCCTCTACAGCACCCTCTGCAACCTCCTAATGGGATATTCTTAGGAAAACACTTAACAGTCATCAGTTAGGCCAATGGAAATTGTATACTGCTCAGAAAAAGCACTTCCAGCCCAGGATGGGCTCGAGGAGCAGTGTCTGCCATGGTCCCATTAAACTGCACTTCGGTTCTGTCCTGGGTTTTTCCACGGGGACTTATGAGGCTCCTGTGCTTGTCCTTACCAGATGGGGAGAGTAGGGCCACACCTCCTTCACCTCCTTCACCCATCCTTTCATCTTGCCTCTGTGTTCTTCCTGCTCCATTTTATGTCCCTTCCACACTGTTATTCCGTCAGAGTGCAAGAATGAGCACCATGGGTGTTTAGTATTGGCACCACAGACTTTTTTTTTAAAAAAGATCTTTATTTGAGAGAGAGAGCACAGGGAGGGGCAGAAGGAGAGGGAGAAGCAGACTCCCCCCTGAGCAGGGAGCCCCACAAGAGGCTGGATTCCAGGACCCTGAGATCATGACCTGAGCCGAAGGCAGACCTTAACCCACTGAGCCACCCAGGCGCCCCCAGACTAAGACTTTTTGTGGTGGTGTGTGGGCAGGTGCCAGAAGCCCAGTGAATTCCACCCGCCAGGATGCTGCCAGCAGAGGGCACTGTTCACCCTGGGATGAAGGCTACCTGCCCTTCACCGTAGCCTCCTCCCCCGGCAGTAGGCCCTCTGGGCTAAGCACCCGGGCTTTGCCTTCTCCGCAGAGCAGTGCTCTTTAAGCCTGAAGGCTGGATCTGAGCCTTTTTGCTTCTATTGGAAAGAAATTCTGGTCAGCCGGCCGCGGGGAAGCTGGCTTGCTTTCCTTTGCCACCAGGCCTTGGTTGGAAAGTTGTTGGTCAATGAGAAGTGGGCAGGAGGGAAGCCGGGGATGTTGATCTCGAGTATCAGTATCAAAAGGAGCCTTATTTAGTCTCCCGGGGTGGAAAAGAGGGTTTCATGGGTCTCTGTTGGGGTTTCTGCCCCCCACCTCCTCAAGCCACCAGCGGCCACCCCCGTTCGTTCCGCCCGCATCCCCGCCTCCTGCGGCGCTGTCCCCTGGCTTTTGGCAGAGGGCCGGCTTCTGCTGGCGTTGTTGCTAGGCAACAGGCAGCACCGCGGCCGCCTCCCGCGCTCGCCTCGTCTCGCCCCCGCTGCTCCTCCTAATATGGATTTAATTGGTGTACTTTTTACCTTCAGACTCTAAATTGCAAACCGAATAGGGAAGCGGCGTTCTGTCTGGAACAGCCTGCTCGGCACACCACGTCCCTCCGCGAGCGGCGGCTGTAAACCTCCGGGATCCTCGCAGGAACAAATCGCGGTGCTGTTCATTCACACGTAAATCAGGAGCTTGGGTGGAAATGTAGGGCAAATGTGGTGGAGCACCGCAGAGGAAACAGATGAAAGGGGAATGTGGGAGCAGAAAGAAGAGGTGGGGGCCGGCAACTGCTCTTAAAGCAATCCTCTCCGAGACCCCCGCCGTGTTACCGTCCCAGCCTGGCTGCGGGTTGGACCGGCAGGGTGGGTGTTTACCTGTTGTCGTTGAAACTTAAATCAGCGCCACCTTACCCCCTAGGAAGATCCCTCCCCCGCCTCCCCCGAGGCGACGTCTGGACATATCCCCACCACACACGCACACACACACACACACACACATATGCTCACCCTCGTTTCTTTGTCTCTTCCTTTTTTTCCACTTCCCTGCAGAAACACCTGAGGCCACCAGTGCTTCACAGGTTCAAGTCCAGAGGTGTGGCAGTTCTGGAAGGGTAAGGCCAGGACAAGAGTTTCAAGGCAAAAAGCAATCTGGAGAGCAATCAAAAGTCTATTTATCAAACTATTTTAAAAGGCCAAATAATTTCTTCTAGGAAAAGGCCAAAAAAAGGGGGAGAATATGGTTTCTGAGTGGGCCCAGCTGGCTGGATGACATCTGTTTAGGTCTGGAAGACAGGGGTAGGGATGCTACGGGAATGTGCATTAAGAAAGACATTGTGGGGCACCTGGGTGGCTCAGTTGGTTAAGCGACTGCCTCGGGCTCAGGTCATGATCCTGGAGTCCCGGGATTGAGTCCCGCACCTGGCTCCCTGCTCGGCGGGGAGTCTGCTTCTCCATCTGACCCTACCCCCTTTCATGTGCTCTCTCTCATTCTCTCTCTCTTTCAAATAAATAAATAAAATCTTTAAAAAAAAAAAAAAAAGAAAGACATTGTGATGTCTATTTTCAACTAAAGTGATATCATACAGAATGTGAGATAATCTCCCTTTGGTGGGAATATACGTTTTTCCCATCAGAGTCCATTGTTATTTATGTATACAAATATGAACATGGTTAAAGAATGGTGATCTTGTAAAGCAAAGCCACAAATGAGAGCTATTTGGTTTTGGAATGCAGCCAGATACTCCTGTGAGACTAACTGGGCACCCCTGGTAATATTTCAAGATGGTATTGCAGTTCCCAAGCAGCTCTACCTACTTCCCTTTGCTCCACCCTCCTCACAGCCTGTAGGATAGATACTGCCAGTCTTACGGCCCATAGAGGAGGGAGATAGAGCTTGGAGAACTGGGTGACTTACCTAAGGTCAACAGATGAGTAAGGGCTGAGGTGAGACCACCTTGCTTTTCTGCAGCAGGACACTGTGATGGAAAAGAGCGCCAGGAGGCCATCCCAGCTCTGACAGTTATAGCTGTGAAGCCTGGACAAGTTACTTACAGTTTCTCGAGGCTTCTGTTTCCTCACTTTAAATTCAAGATACTAACAGGACATACCTTGTAAGGTTGAGATTAATACCTGCACAGTGATTAAAACTGCTCCTGGTGCTTCGTAAACAAAGGCTGTATGTGCATCACCCATATCCTGGTCTCCATTAGGTAAGTGCGACACGTTCTAGAATAACCTCCAACCAGCCTCCTTTAAAGGAAGTATAAACCTTTATTTAAAAGCTTGCTCTGGATGACTCATAAACATCTATATAACAGTTAACTTCTCTCCCATTAAAAGGAGTGATTCTCTTCCCTGTGACAATTCTAGCCAACTAAATTGCCTTAATTTATAAGCAACTTTTTTTTTTTTGGTCATTTGAAAATACCTCTCACAGGTGTACCTCCTGCTAGGCAAGAAATGGTTCTTGAAAAGTTTCCATATGCATATGAAAGTATAATTTCCTACTGACTTATAGTTTCAGAAAGTCTTGACCTGCAAGGAAAAAACGGTGGTTTCTAACACCTAAGTTTTAAGTTTATTGATCCTAAACTCTTGCCAAATGTTTTATTTCACTCAGAAGGCTTGTAGCATGCTTCTGAAACACAAAGGTTCTTCTGGCAGTTTAACCCTCCTCTGATTTAAGTGTGTAATAGACATTAGTTATTGTTATTATTACTTTGCTGGTTTAGATTTTGTCTTTCTCAAGGCAGGTCATAACCTGTGTGTGACCTTTGTTATCCTGTCTCAGTCAAGCCTCTCTTTTACCATGGAAAATCTCTTAATATTTTATTCTGTCTTCCAGACCTTCAGCAACTGAGATTGCTATAATTATTGCCTCCCACAATTTTTCTGCAGAGGCAGATTTAATTTGCATTTTTAAATA